CTGCTCTCCACTAATCGCTCCAACCAATTACAGAGGGCAAATAAAGCAATCCTTCAAAGTCCATTATAATATAATTGTATTTATATTTTGAGCTCTGTTTGAACAAGCCACAGTGCCACACCCCCATTTTATGGCTGGCTAGTCTGACTTTGAAAATCTTGGATCTGAAATATATTCCTCTCTTGATAAAGCTTTCAGTTTACTCTTGGAAAACCTGTAGTTTTAGTTTGGAGTGGCAAGTCTTTCGAGTGAAATTAGTGATTTGCAGCTGGGTTTCATTCGATTTTGAGTATTTACATTTTTTATAGCTGTGCTCGTGTGTTTAATGCACCTTTAATATCATTGAGCCAGTCCAGAAACACTGATTTGTATGCTCGACCAAAGACTAATTTTGGCCTGAGCAACTTTATTTCTGCCGAAATAGAGGTTAACATATTGCATAATAGCTAATTGTCTTAAATTCTCCACGTGCTCAATTTTCTTTCCATTAGGAGGTACCTACGATATCTACGATCTCTTTTAGCGTAACAACTATTGCCACAATGTTCTATGTTATGTATAAACTGTTTTAATTCAAGTTTGTCAATAGAAAAGGCATTGCCTTAGATGGTAAAAGTACTCACAATAAGAGTTCCTCTCTAGGAAGTATAGTTGAAAACTGAATATGTGCATATGATGTTGGAACGGTTCTAATTGTTATTGTTCTGTGTGCTATCTGCTTTATATGCAACTTAACTTATTCCCAAATTTGCCAGCTTGCATATGTGCTTATTGTGCTATGTATGCTATCCCCATTTTTCACTCTTCTAATTCTTGTTCATGTCTTTTTTGGTTTTTAATCCGATAGTGTAATATTATTCTCTCATTTTTATTTTATTTCTACAGGAGTCGGAGGGTATTCGTACCTGTACGAGCCTCTATGGTGGACAGGAATGATAACAAGTAAGCTGTGTATTATATCTGTATAGATAATTATGCTTAATTTTTTCAACTAACTCATACCATGGTGTACATTGTAGAGTTGAAAGAAACTGATACAACCTACAGTCTAGGATAAATAAACTCATTATGATAGGGTTAATGACCAGAGAATTTTTTTTCCTTCACTGTATTCAGAAATTACTAATTCTGTACGTTCATAAATCTTGATATTAAGTTTGGGGACTGGCTTTTCTCATATGAACATGGGGCTTGGAGTGGGGGAGTGTCAGAATAGAGGCGTAATTGAGGTCTGGAAAGTGTTCGATACACACACACACACACACACATATATATATATATACATACACACTTATCCTTTGAGTTTTGATTGGACAAAGGCCAACTTGAGGAGGTTCAATTATCAGTTGCTTGGTCCGCCCTGTTTGATTATGTTCCCTGGCAATGGTCATATGATTGATTGTCTACCTGAGAAATATCTTATCTTCTGTGCTTTCTTTGTATGTCAATTTATTTCTTGGTTAAAAAAGTAAGAAAATTTTCTTAAAAACTAACCTTGGGCTTAGCCAGATTGTAAGTGAACGTAGGTATATATCAGAATTATAAAAATCCACTCGAAAGCAAGGATATGGAGTTACATAATGTTCTACCAAATCTGAGTTGCATTCATATGGTCCAAATTGTATGCCGATTTGACTGTAAATTTGTTCTGCAATGTCTACCAAAATAGGATGATTTGGATAAGCTTTTGTTATGTTTCCTCATCAAGCGCTTATATCTAATAGTGTCAGTCTCCCTTGTTGCCAAATTCCATTTTCAACCAGCTCTTTCTTGTTCCTGCTACACCACTTCATCTATTAATACTAGTACCATTTACTTGTTCACGGTCACTCTTAAATTTAATGTTTGTTTATTCTTTGATTCTTTCTGATACTAGGTAAACCTAAACTTAGTACTGTATTGAATTTTTTGATGATGCTACAGTGATTGTTGGAGAGATTGCAAATTTTGCAGCGTATGCTTTTGCACCAGCAATTCTAGTTACTCCTCTTGGTGCACTCAGCATTATTATCAGGCATGGATATTTGGCTAGTTTACCTTAGTTGGCTATGTAAGTTATATTTTGACCTTTTTGCTAATTATTATGTGCTGAATGCAGTGCCGTACTTGCTCACATTATTTTACGAGAGAGATTGCACATTTTTGGTATTCTTGGTTGCGCTTTATGTGTTGTGGGCTCGACCACAATAGTCCTACATGCTCCGCAGGAACGTGAGATTGAATCTGTGAAAGAAGTGTGGGACCTTGCTACCGAGCCAGGTAATACTGAGATTTTTGTTTTTAAACTTTTGGGACAACATTTCTATATGTTCTCCAGTGAGCTAAAATACTATGGGTCTTTCCTGCAGCTTTTGTCTGTTATGCAATTCTGGTGATAGCAGTAGTCCTCATTCTAATATTCTATTACGTCCCGCAATATGGCCAGACGCATATATGGTTCTATATTGGTGTCTGTTCATTAGTTGGCTCACTGTCGGTATGTGATGTTAATTTCTAATATCTATCTATATATGTAGTCTCTCTCTCTCTCTCTCTCTCTCTCTCTCTCTCTCTCTCTCTCCCCCTCCCTCCCTGCTTTCAAGAGAAAAAGAACATCTTTGGTATTGTGTTCTGTAAATGCTAAGAAGCTGTGGAAAATGCCTTTTGACAGGTCATGAGTGTAAAAGCTTTAGGAATTGCTTTGAAGTTGACTTTGTCAGGAATGAATCAGCTGATATATCCACAGACTTGGACCTTTGCAATGGTCGTATTGGTTTGCGTCCTCACTCAAATGAACTATCTAAATAAGGTTAGTTTATAAATAATATTCACTCTGGGGAACTCTAAAAACCTACTTAATTCCATCCTTATATTTACATATTTCACATCTGTAAATTCGTGTTAGATCAACTCTGCCACGCATTCACATTTCTGAACCTTTTGAAATTCCATTTTTCACTCTTCTTCCAAACCGAGCACATTAGCTTTTCTATATTTTTGGGAAGTACTTTTTCATAAATTCATGCAAATGTAATCTCATTTCTCACAGAGAAACCTGTACAACTACACTCAAAAAAAATGTTGGAATTGAATTCTTTATTGAAACTGCAACCATATAAAAACCTGATGCGTGCAATTCTAACGATGATCTACTTCTCCACATGTTCAGTTAAAAAAATTGCTGGTTTTCTTTGTAATGCGATACATTTTAGTAATATAAAGCATCTTTAAATGTTGTGTTTCATTATTTTCCAATTCTTGACGAATCTCGAATGCAGGCTCTTGATACGTTCAACACGGCCGTAGTTTCTCCCATTTACTATGTCATGTTCACAACCTTTACTATTGTGGCTAGTGTCATCATGTTCAAGGTACTTTTATTGCAGTTTAACTATTTCTTCTTTTCCTTCTTTCTACTTTTTTTTTTTCTTCTTCTTTCCATACTGGCCTGATATGTACTGTAGATGATTGAATGAAGTTGGATATGTTTTTCCACTACATTGAGTTTGTCAAAATATGTTGCAACAATAGTGTGGAAACTTCTAATCTCCCGATTATAAAGGATTCGGTGTTGATATTCTAGTATTGGCAAAATTATGCGCGACGCTTTCGCTTGGCTGTGTAAGATGTGCTGGGCCCTTGAACAAATTTCTAGAAAATTATGGAGGCATGATAACCACTGTTTCCTTTATAAATCACTGTGTTATCAATGGCCAATGACGGAACAAAAATCTTTTGCTTTGAGGCTATAGTTACAGAAGTTCTTAGTTTCGCCAATTTAATTTTTGCGCCCTACGAAGGAACCAGAAAATTAAGTATGTAATTATTAAATAATATGTTGACGTCTCAAGAATTGGAGACTGAGAATGTATGCTCCTTTTGGTAATATGAACAGGACTGGGATAGACAAAATCCGACCCAAATTGTGACAGAGATGTGTGGGTTTGTGACTATTCTTTCTGGGACCTTTCTTCTTCACAAGACGAAAGATATGGCTGATGGTATGCACTACGTTCCTGATTTTGCTGGCTTTGTAGTTGTGAATTGTGATACAGTTAAATATGAATTTGATGGCAACTCACTAAACACCTGAAAAATTGTAATCCGAGTCGTGTAATGTTCATTCCTCGTAGGTTCAATGTCAATGAGACTCCCAAAGCATGCAAATGAGGATGGTTTTGGTGAAGAAGGCATCCCTCTCAGGCGGCAGGAATCGTTGAGAACAACTTGATGTACGGTTTGATTTTATTTTCCTTTTTTCCTTTTTTTTTTTTCCCTTTTCTTCCTTGTAGCCAAATGTGAGTTCTTAAAATCATGCTGTTTTGAGAAGAATACCACATATATTCATCTTGTATTTTATCAGATACTGGACCTGGCCCTAGCATACATTTATCTTCTGGGTTAGATAGCGAGATTGGAATTTTTGTATTTTTGGTTGTTCTTCCCCTTGGTACTCTCTTAAAATCTCTTCTTTTAGGATTTTAAATAAATCTCTTCTTTTAGGATTTTAAATATTGTAATTTTAT